TCCATTTACGTTCTAAAGTTAATACAATATAACCTGCGTATTTCGAACAGCGTTTTTGACCCTTGCCCGCACAAATCGAAATGTATTATTTATCGATGAGTAGCTATCAGTTTGGTCTCCATTGTCTTTTGTTCAACATTCTTTCGCGCGCGTGACTTAACAACAAGATGAATTTACGCGATTGCGTAATTAATGAAATGCAACAAGTTGTTGCGTATACGTTATATCATAAAGAAGATACGAGTTCGATTTCTCCGTAATATTTTTTCCCCAATATAGTCAGATCTCATGAATCGAGCTTTGTAGTATTTTCTAAACCGATTTGCATACTGCTGTCACAGTATATCTGCGTTAAGAAGAGGAAGGGTACGAAAAAAAAGAAGCATTAAAGTACAAACGATGCTGATTGGAGTTAAGTGGGATCATTTTCATTCAGATAATGATTAACCGAGCATATATCGTGCGTCGGTATCTCACGATAATGCAAAAGTAAAAATATTATCTATTTGGCGAACCTGAGCTCTCTAATTCGTATCGAACAATTATACAGGGTGTCCCGTAAGTTACCTTATTATTTAAAAACTGTGTAAACATTTGTTTAAAATGTGAAACGAAATTTTTGAAACACGTAATAAATTTTTTTTTTAATTTATTCAATTTTCAAATAATAAAACGACTTATGCACCATTTTATACTTAAATAAATATATGAGATATTTAGAAAGATAGAAAAATTAGTGTAGAATTCTAAATTAGAAAAATTGACGAAGATTTTAAAAATAATTTCGAGAAGAAAAATTTCTTCACGAGTGATATACGAAATGAAAATATTGTTTGTCACGAATGACAATGTTGCAAAAGGGAATCGATGATCGTTTAATCGTGTCAATGAGAAGCCCCCTTGTGTTCGTGATCATTTGCTTCGGGCTGAGTCTCGTGCCGAATTGAGAGCAATTAAACGTGCGTATGTGGTGTGACTATGGCCAATTACCAATTGACCGATCGACGAACCGCGATACTTACGTTATGCACGTTCCCATGGATAATAACCTAGCGCCAGTCTCCTTTGTAACGTCTAAAGGTGTATACACGTTAAGTTTATATTCGTAAAAGGTCAATTATAATGCTAATTTCGAATTTTTTTCTGTGAAACACACGATAAATAAATGATTACATCGACTGACATAATTAAAACACCGGAATACACTGGAGGTGTTACGTCCCAGTTTACCGCGATTTTTATTCGAATTTTTGCGGGGTCGTAAATCTCGCTCGCGCTCTCGATCACTTGAGACGCTTGACTATCGGATCGTTCACCGATTTATCTGCTTGGAATAATTGTTCTACGTTCGAACTTGACTCTCGGATGAGTCTTGAGATGTTACGCGATAAATACAACAGGTTTAGTGGGATAATCCGCTATAGTGAATTGAAACACAATTAGAGAAATGTAAATATCTAGTTTCCATGAAAAGGTGTGACTGATAAAATGAATCATCGTGGGAGTGACTAATGTAGTTTGACGATTACTTACGAGGAGACCGCGAAATAATACAATAATGAAATAATTACATAGTGATGAATTGACTGTTCTTTTTTGTTTGGTTACGAGATTAACGCGGGAAATTTGAAAAATTGTTAATAATTTTCTACGGTGATTTTCTTCTATGCTTTTTGTTATAAATTAGTTTCTTTTTATGAATTTTGTGAGTGATTATGTTTCTTTTTTATGTTTAGTGCAAATTTTCTTACGAGATTAACGCGGGAAATTTGAAAAATTCTTAATTTTCTATGTGGATTTTCTTCTATACTTTCTGCTATAAATTAATTTCTTTTTATGAATTTTACGAATGATTATGTTTCTTTCTTATTTCTAGTGCAAATTTTCTTACGAGATTAACGCGGAAAATTTGAAAAATTCGTAACAACTTTCTTCCATACTTTTCGCTATAACTTAATTCCTTTCTATGAATTTTACGGCTGATCATGCTTCTTTTTTATTTCTAGTGCAAAGGGATGCAATCGAAATGGGCTTGGATAATCCTTAATCTCGTGGTATGCGCGATCGCATCGGTGGAGGATGACAACGTAAAAGCTTTCATACAATTAACCGAGTACGGTTACGTGGATGTTTGCTTAGACACGACCGAGGCGCAATGGGCTTTCCTCAATTCACCGTCGAATAAAACTTTGTCAGAATGGGTAAGTTTGATATGAATTACGAATGAAATATTATCTTTGAAATATTATTATCATGAATATTATCTTTCTAGGAAGAGAAATTAATTTCTTATGCCAGATTCAAGATCTTGCAAATGGATGAAGTTGCCAATATTTCAAAGAATGATATCCATGACTCAGCTTTGCTGTATAAGTATGATGTTGCTATAAAAATAGGTGATGCTTTGTTGCATACTGATGATTTAAAAAAAGTAAGATGAATGATTCTGCTCTTTTATTGCTTCAACAAGTGTTTCTTTATGTAAGCTTGAAATTATGTTAATTGTTGTAGCTTGTGCACTTTGCCGGAGCAGCAGAGTTGCAGAGATTATCCAGAGTTCGTGATACAATCTTGAAAAATCACACAAGAAAAGGTATTGACTGCGGTTGATTGTAAACTGATTTGAAAAATTAGATCAACATTGTCAAAATGTATTCGATATTTTCAGATCTGGAGAATATATTGTCACATAGCAGTAATGTTGAAAATAAGAGCGCCGTTTGGACAGCATGGCATCAAGGGTTAGCTCCTCTGGTTAAGAATTTCTCAACTATCCTGCCACTTGTTAGCAAAGCAGCCAAAGCAAATGGTTAATGTCTTGAAAAATAAATTGCCTTTTGTGCATTTTGAATTGTACAATTCAAAACGTCATAACATAAAAATTTCACTGTTTTTTCAGGTGCCAAAAATGTAACTGAATATTGGGAATTTTTAAGCGGATATAGCGAGGGTTATGATAAAATAAAGTATGAATGGAGTAGGCTTGCTAGTCTTCATAAAAAGATACTGAAATTTGCAATAAATAACTTATCTCAGAAGTACAAAATTACTATGAATAACACAATACCAGCTTATTTACTTGGTAAACTAACACTTCTGTATTAATAACACTTATGTTAATCATGTTTCATTTAAAAATTATCATATTTCTTCTAAAGGATCTTTGCAAGGAAGTGACTGGACACCGATATCAGTTGATGTAACACCTTACCCAGATTTGATGTACAGCATAAAAAAGAATCTTTGGAAAAGGGTAAAGAATCATTTCTTTCGTTGCTTTGATAATGTACAATTCAAATGATGTACTAATGAAATTATATTATAGAGACTTATTGGAAAATCTTTGTACAAAACTGCCTCTATCATGAGCTCACAGATATTGAGCCAAGCACCGCAGGCAGGTTTTTGGGGTAAAAGTCGTTTTGATCAACAGTGTCCATCAAAATTAATCAACTTTTGTCAAGATGCTATTTTGAGGTATGTATCTTATACTAAATATTTAAAACTCCCTGTTTAAACGTTCAATCAAATTGTCTAATAAGAACAATTTTAAACCTGTTATAATGTAGTGTATCTACTTGCTTTGAACCTACCATAAGCAACTATCTCTCTGCCCATAAAAATGTAGGCAAGATAGTGTTCAATCAAATATCTGTGGAGGACACTCCAGTACTTAATACAGCCAATAGATACTCAGGTAAATATACAAATATTAAAAGAGTTCATATTGCACCAATTAAAATCAACATTACTGTTTTTCTTTTTTACAGGTCTGGAAGAAGGTGTATCAGAACTTTTTGGTATTTTAGCAGCAAGCCCTGCTTGGTTAAATTATACTCACCTTATGGACAATTCTACTGACAGTGAACAACGTCTAATTGTGTCCCTGATGATCACTGCCTTGAATACATTACCACAAATTACTTATTACATGTCTGCAGACATGTGGAGAATCGATGCCATTGAAAAAGGTATCACTAATCCTGAAGATTTAATATCATCTTGGTGGAAGCATAGGTAATTACTCGATACATGCAGACTTGAATTTGATGTATTTTTTTCATTCTCTAACGCAAACCATTACAATCTGTATTACAGAGAAGAATACGAAGGACTTAATTCAAATGGCACTAATATGCCCACGTTTTTAGATGACGATTATATCACAAGCAACAAGCCATATCTCCCGTAAGTAGCAACAATGATAAGATATCGATAATATACATAAAAAGAACATTAGAAGGACGGAATTGATACCTGTACTATTTTTACAGAAAATTAACCGGTACGATACTAGCATTTCAATTGTACAAATACTTAATGGCGTCCACAGCAGTTAGATACGATTCGATAGTAGAGAAACATATAAACATAAACTTTCTGTGAGTAATATTCGAGTACAAGAATTTTCCACTAATTGTTTGTAACGGAGAAAAAAAAATGTAGAGAAACATCGTTCCGCTTGTCAACAGAAAAATGATTCAGCGAGGAAGCGCCGACGACTGGATGAAAGTGCTGGATAAATTTTTAGAACTAGACGAGGTATCGTTTGATTCGTTGCTCTCGTTTTTCTCGCCATTGGAGGATTTTATCGACGAGCTGGAAGAGAATATCCAATACAAAGCAGACACAGCCAAAGAGTCAGAATTAGAGGAACTGGAAAAGAGAGTAATCGTTGAAATGAATACTCCGTCGACTACCACAACTACTACCACGACACCTAGAAGTGTAGCGGGAAAAACAAAAACTACGAGTACATCTAGTAGCAAACAGAACGACGGAAGAAGCGGTATGAATACTGTAGGCAATTCTAACAAGAATTTAGAATCTAAATCGTCTATACTTATACCAGAAAACAGTAATATATTAGACGTTCCAACTATAACTGAAGTTCCTCTTGATAAGTCACAACTCGATAGCCTAGACACAGACGATGATAAGAAACCAAAGATTAATACTAGTAAGGCAGTGTGGGCTGTGGGGGCAGTGTTATTAGCAACGATAGTTATTTGTATAATCGCGATCTTCGGCAGACAAAGATGTCGCAAAACACCAAAAAATAGACGATACGTTTAACAGTATGTTGCAACGTTAAAAAATTTATATATATATTTAATAT